CCTACAGCACCCGGTATTCCCAGGCGGGCTCCCATCCAAGTACTAACCAGGCCCAACCCTGCTTGGCTTCCAGGATCAGACGAGATCGGGTTCGTTCAGGGTGGTATGGCCGTAGACGCTGTGTTTATTGTTAAACAAGTTTTTCATTTTTCCCCATAACTGTGCATTGTCTCCTCGTGAATGCTCCTTTTCCTGAATCTGGGAGCAGCACTGTCAGCGTCACAGGACAAGACTCCAGAGAGACACTGCCCCCTCCGTTGGACCCCATATGTTGGGGAAGTGGGGTCTCTACTCCGAAACTCTTCCCTGGGGCCTATGGAGCCCGAGGATGGGCATGATTTGGGGTGTGTGTGAAGATGGCACAAAGGTCTCAGTAGATTTAAGAATTCTGGGACCCATAAGAGGTTAAGAGTTCTGCTCAAGTTTTAGGTCCTGCTGAAGAGACTCCCAAGGAAGACTTCCCCGGGGCCATGTCTCAATGGGGGGCCCTTGCATTCAGGTGGTATGGGGTGGATCCCGTGCCTCCCCAGAGTCAGCGGGGGAGTGGGCTCTCAGGAGAGGCACTCCTGCTTTCCCACCCCCTCTCAACAGTTCAACAAGTAAATCCCAGGTGTTGTCAGTGTTCAGGCTCTGTGCTACAGCACAAGGGTTGCTCAGATGAGAGAGACACAGTCCTTGTTGCTGATCGAGAGGTGGACATGCACCTGGGCCGGAAGAAGGGTGGGGGGGAGTGGAGATCCTCTGATGCCAATCATACCACCACCACCTTCTCAAGGTGCTCCTTACTCTGCTCCAACCGTAGGACCTGCAGCGAGACATCGAACAACACAGTGCAGGGGTGGAGTCTGTCTTTAACATCTGTGACGTCCTCCTGCATGACTCCGATGCTTGCGCCAACGAGACGGAGTGTGACTCTCTCCAGCAGACCACCAGAAGCTTGGACAGACGCTGGAGGAACATCTGCGCCATGTCAATGGAACGGCGAATGAAGTAAGAACCGAGCTGCCCCTGAACGTTTCAAACATGGTCAGCCAAACTCCGTGCACCCTTCTCGTCTCAATAGCAGTAGCTGTGTTCTGTTCGCTTCACTTCCAAGGCGACTGGCAGAGAAGGCTCAGTAGGTGTGGCCATGCTCATGCAATGAGTTATTCAAGAAAAATAGGATCGGGGTTACGGCTTTCCCCAGCAACCCTGTGTCTCGAGGTGTAACCATGGCTGGCCCTGGCTACGAAACAGCGGAGGGAAGCCCTGTCTCCTGCTGGTTAACCTCTGTGAGGCAGGAGCTTTGAGGGGCAGTCCCAGGAGGACGGTGTCCTGACCAAGAAGGGGATGTGTCCGGTTATTTCCTAGAAGAAGGATATCAGGGTCTCTCCCCCAAAATGGTGCAAGTGCCAGGGGTGTTGGGAATGGGACCAGGCAAGGGAGGAAAAAAGAAAGCTCACGGCTGAAACGGATGGCTCATGTTGAGATGCTCTCCTCCTGTCAGAATTGAGGAGACGTGGCGCCTGTGGCAGAAATTTCTAGATGATTACTCCCGCTTTGAGGACTGGCTCAAGTCCGCCGAGAGGACAGCAGCCTACCCGAATTCCTCAGAGGTGTTGTACACAAATGCCAAAGAAGAGCTGAAAAGGTTTGAGGTAAAGCCCAAAGCCCCCTCCAGCCCGGTGCTCCTGATAAGCAAGCCTCTCGGTGGCTGGCTTTCCCCCCCCGCGGCCAGGGCCGCCCAGTCCACAGCCCGCCGGCAGCTGCTAAGACGGCTTTGCCAGACGAGACCGATCCGTGCCAAGCGGCATGCAGTGAACTTGAGAGCCTGTTCTTTAGCATCAGCGCAGGGGGAAGGGGGCTCTCTGTGGCCATTTCAGCCTGGGGATTAAGGCCGAGAGCAGGGCGGCCGGGGCCGGGGAGGGGGCGTGCCGGCCTTGGCCCTGACGCACCCGTCTGTGCGCCGCAGGCCTTCCAGCGGCAGATCCACGAGAGGCTCACGCAGCTGGAGCTCATCAACAAGCAGTACCGACGGCTGGCCCGGGAGAACCGCACCGACACGGCCAGCAGGCTGAAGCAGATGGTGCACGAGGGCAACCAGCGCTGGGACAACCTCCAGAAGCGGGTCACGGCCGTCCTGCGGAGACTCAGAGTAACCTTCTCTACGTCCCCCGCCTTGTTTGTAGGCCGTCAGGGAGAAGTGACGGGCGGTATCAGGCTTGTAGCAAAGCAGTGGGTAGATTTCAGTTCAGGCCTCAGGTATCTTAACATTCTTCCAACCGGCCTTCCCTGGGGTTTAAGCCAAAGCTGCCAGTATTCCTGTCTTTGGTTAAGAGGTTATTTACCTAAGAATAGGCTTCCGAGACAGGGCCCATTGATGTGATTTGTGGTACCAAGCACATCTTTTTCCAACCTCCATAAGCCCTAGAGGTTTGCACGTTGGCTCACAGACGGCCCATGGGGTCTGGGCCGCTTCCATCACCAGGTCAGGCCCAGGGGCCTCTAGGCCCGGAAGGAGGCTCGCCTTGCCCTTCTGCCCGTTTTTGTGTGTTCCACTGGTTCTTGCACTATGAGAGATGTAGACAAAGCCCCCTCTGATTACCCCCCCTCCTGTTACCCCCCCGCCCCGTTGCACTCAGACTCGAGTGCATTGTGGAGCTTGGGGACAGCGATTACCCCCCGAATTTCAGAGCACATTGACCTAACCGCAAAGGCTGGGGTTGATTTTTGAATGTAGACGTTCACGTAAGATTTGCGTAATGCAGGAGACACGGTATGTGAACCTTTGTGAGTCTAGGTGTAAACTGACGGGACACGTATGGTTTGTGGCTGCAGGAAGTAATTTTAATCCCTGCTTCTGTTCTCAGGGCTCTTGAAGTTATTCTAAGATGAGGAGAATCTGGGCTTTTTTTTTTTTTTTTTTTTAAATCCCTCAGGAAGAAATGGGTTAGCTTTTCAGACAATCCCCGTGCATTAATTTATCTCCTGCTGATTTGACTGTGACCAGTGTAAACCTTTATTTGGTACTGAATGCTACGTTTGAGAATCCGCTGCCCATTTATGAGGTAGTAACCCAAGAGGCTTCCTTAATTGAAGGCGATAAATCTGGGTCTTTCTCTGAGGGAACACGTTCAGGATTACTGAAATGGAGCATTAGACCAGGCTTAACCCTGAGATCAGTACTTTTCCATCTTGAAGCTGCTATTTCAAGCCAATAGCTTCCACAGAAGGCTTTCAAGGTAAAGGCAGGCAAGGTGCCTGGACATTGAGGGGGTTCCTCAAAGGGCAAGTTGGGGAAAATAACTGACCTAGGGAATTACAGAATTTGAAATGCTAAAAGGACCTTCAACATCATAGTCAACATTCCCACACCCTAATTTGCCAGGGAAGACAGGAAGACTTAGAGAAGTTGGGGGGCTTGTTATCACACAGCCAGGACCAGAGCCCAGGCTCCTGACCCCACACTGGCCCCCTGATGCCCTGTGGACCTCTGGGGGTACCCTTTCCTCTTGGCCAAAAACAACCTGTCTGCCTGGACTCTCTTGTGCCCTCAAAACAAACGAGATATTTTCCCCCCTTTCACAGCATTTCACCAACCAAAGGGAGGAATTCGAGGGGACCAGGGAGAGCATTCTGGTGTGGCTCACAGAGATGGACCTGCAGCTGACCAACGTGGAGCACTTCTCGGAGAGTGACGCCGACGACAAGATGCGCCAACTGAACGTAAGGCCTGCTTTGTCGGCCCCTCTCAGAAGAATGCACCTTTGCAGGGGAGAGCTGGCGAAGGACAAATGTCACCTGATACCCTGAGAGCAGATTCCAGCACTGAAAGCAGCCAGGCTGCACCCACCTGTGTCCTGCAGGGTTATCATGAGCAAGGATACTATACCTTACAGTCAAGGGGCCATTGGAACAAAGCTTGTTATTCTTTGTCATTTATAATCATCCACGGGGAGAACGCTCTTTAGGTTCCAAACAGAACTTCATAAGGTGCTCTTCACCTAGCTTTCGAGTCTGAGTGCAACAGGGTGGGGGGGTAACAGGAGGAGCATCTGTATCAAGAGTGGGGCCAAGAACAGATCTCACGTCCGCTCTCCCAGATATCTGTATTTCACTTTAATTTCACTATGATTCCCTCCTTGGCTTTTTTTTTTTTTTTTTTTAAGGTTTTATTTATTCATTTAACAGAGAGATAGTGTAAGTAGGCAGAGCGGCAGGCAGAGGGAGAGGGAGAAGCAGGCCCTCCACTGAGCAGGGAACCCAGTGTGGGGCTCGATCCCAGCACCCTGGGATCATGACCTGAGCCGGAGGCAGACGCTTAACTGACTGAGCCACCCAGGCACCCCTCCCTCCTTGGCTTTTAAAAACAATTGAAAAATAGAAATGTGTCTTCCCTAATATAATGGCACCAATGAGATGATTATTGTGTCAGCAGAAGCAAATGCCCATGGGTGGTTTATTCTGGGAAATTTTCTGTTTCCACGAAGCGTCAATAAGACAAGCTTTCTCCCTCACACCCAATAGCGGTAAATGTCCATCCCTGCCAAACTTTTAGAATTATTTTAATTGGAAAAGTCCGTATCCAGAAGGGAGAGGGTGGGAAAAAATCACGTACAGTCATTTTACATTATCCGATCTTTACTGTCACCTTGTTAAAAATCAACAGAGCTCGAGTCCTGGGTGCAGGGACAAGGCATTCGGTGACATGGGGATGCTTTCTCTACAGCCCGGTTAAAAGAAGCAGACGCTGGGTCCTCGGGGAAACTTTCCTTCTTTGAAATCCTTTCTTTCTCCTATCCTGAGTAGGGTTTCCAGCAGGAAATTACACTAAACACCAACAAGATCGATCAGCTCATTGTCTTTGGGGAGCAGCTGATTCAGAAGAGCGAGCCGCTGGACGCCGTGCTGATCGAGGACGAGCTAGAGGAGATGCATCGGTATTGCCAGGAAGTCTTCGGCCGGGTCTCCCGCTTCCACCGCAGGCTCACCTCCCATGCCCCGGTAAGGGCAATGCCACCCTCGCTCGGGCGGCCTCCGCGCCACTCGCGCTTGACCTTTGACCCAATTTTTAAAGAACTGGGACCCCTATGGAACGGTCAGTTGTGATGTGTTTTATGGTAAAAGGGGGGGGAACCTATTAGTTTTATTTCGGCTGTTAGCACTATGGAGTCACACTTCCTTGGAGGCTCCCATCACCCCATGGAAGGAATGGCGCTGCTGAAAGTTCTTGCTCCTCTGACCTGCTTTCCACGTGTTCCTCAGGACAGGGCTTGCCCAACAGGTCCGGATCCCGAGGATACAGCGATACGTGTTCTGGTTTTGCTTACAGTAGTAACTTGGGAATGTGTCGGCCTGTTCCTTTTAGTGTCTGGGAACTTTTAGTAGTTGCACGTTTCTGGTGCTTTGTTCTCACCTTTGAAGTGACAAAAACACGCGTTTTCCAAAGCAACTGTGAAGCTTCCCTTGACAGAGGGACCTTTTGGGAAGTTCGGGTAGCGTTCAGGCTGTTATTCCATGTTCATTGCCTTCGTGCGCCAGGAGCTTTCATGATGACCATATTGACCGACACGCCTGGCCGCTTCTTCCTTCTCTGTGTCCCCAGCTGGCTTACTTGATAGTTATTTCTTCATCAGACCTAGCCTTAAAAATTACGGTACAATTCCCTCATTTCTAAACATAGCAGTTTTTAGTCCTTTTTCTTAGACCGAGGCACTACAACATAGGGAGAATAAGGTTCTATATCCTGAACAATAAGATTGAGGATAAGAAAGAACCCCTTTAATGGCCTTTAAATTTTTTTTTAACTTAAATGTTCTGATTGTTGGAGTAAACCTGCCACTAACCACCAATGAAACTTTGGCCACCATTTCTTATTTTCTAGCTAAAGCTGTTTGAATTAGATCACTAAATTTCATATTTTTCCGAGGAAAACTTGCAGGTTCTGAGGCCCACACTGGAGTGTCTAAATTAGAATAATCACAAACAAATCCCTGGGAACGCAATTCTTTTTTGAAAGCCGCCGCAGAAATGCCGATGGTGGCCATTCCCAGGCGCTGCTAGACAGACAGGCCCCCGGCCTCCTCACACCGCAACAGCCTGTAATCTGGTTCATTCTGAAAACCGGACATCCCCGCTTTAGGGCTTGGAAGAAGAAAAAGAGGCCTCGGAGAATGAAACGGACATGGAGGACCCCAGAGAGATCCAGGCCGACTCCTGGCGTAAAAGGAGAGAGAGCGAGGAGCCCTCGTGTCCTCAGTCCCTCTGTCATCTGGTGCCCCCGGCGCCGGGGCCCGAGCGGTCTGGCTGCGAGACCCCTGTCAGCGTGGACTCCATCCCTCTGGAGTGGGATCACACAGGGGACGTGGGGGGCTCCTCCTCTCACGAAGATGACGAGGAAGGCCCATACTACAGTGCACTGTCAGGTAACGGCCCCAGTCTCCAAAGCCCTTGACATCGACCCGCGTGGTTATGTTTTTTAGCACCTTAGCAACACGGCCAACTCTGGATGGCCCAGAGTCCAGCTCGTGGCTGACCCAGACCTCTGTGGCTTCTTGTGTTGTGTCCTGCCCACTTTGACTTACCTGAGAGTGGCTCACTCCTATCACAGGCGGAATGAAAGGGAAAAAGAGATGAAATTCACCTTGGGACATGAAGGCTATTCCCGGATGGCTCCGGCTGCTGGGGAGGCTCATCAGTGAACTTTTCCGTTGAGTTTTTCAGAGTATCGGTAGATCGTCTTCATTCTTTCTGTGGACTTCCCCACTTCCACTACTGCTTCAAACAGTAAAGAGTTGGCTGGAAAAAAACTCTTTTTGGTTTTTTAAAAGCTTTTTAGTAGAACAGATAAAGGGTAGTTACTTTTCTTCTCCCAGCTGACAATGTTTCTACTGTTGTAATACTTGGGCATTCATCTACAGACGCCTGCAGTGAGGAAAATGACATTATTCTTTTTCAGATGTAGAAATCCCTGAAAATCCTGAGGCATATCTTAAAATGACCACAAAAACTTTGAAAGCGTCTTCTGGTAGGCCCCTGCCCATGCATGTGTCTCAACATGGCAGCGTCCTGTGGCGCACACTGCATCCTAAACCTCGCTCCCATGTCCTGTCTGACCTCTGCCTTCTGTGGACACCATGCGCCTTGGTCCTTGTGTCATGGTGTATTTGCACTGCTGTACTCCCCATACCTGCGTGCTACTTACAAAACCCCACCCACACAAGAGCAGTCTCCACACCATCCCTCCCCTCCCCGCCGAGGCCTGTGCAGAAGGGAATTTTTCATGGTGCCTTTTAGGGTTTTTATTCCTCCCCTCCCCTCCATCTAACTGAAGTTCTTTGGCATAGGCCAAGCTTTCTTCATGGTGGCTTGGTTTGGAACTACCGCCTTCCTTCCTTATGCTGTTTCCTGGGAAGAGGATGGGTGGGTGGGGGTAAAGGTACTGTTGCGCTTGCCAGAGGAGAAGAAACCTTCCTTTCTTGACTTGCAGCTCTAACCTTTGTACCCTGCCCCGTCCGCCTGTGCAGTGGTGGGGTAGAGCCGTGAGCGGTCCTTTGGTCCCCAAGTCCATCCCGATGTTCACTCTCCCCCACTTCCGAGAGGCCTTCAGTCCTCTTGGCCACCAGCCCCGGCCTTGTTGCCAGTGTCCCCACCACTAGATGCCCCAGCTCCGAAATGCCACTCATCGTGCAAAAAAAATCATACGTTTGTTGTGCTCCATTGTGAACCCATCTAGTGAAGGCACAGTGCTGCTCAGTTGCATGATTCTCATTTCATTCCCTTCTGGGACATACTGACATTTTGCAAACGTGCATGCTTTGCAAGGAAAGCTGCAGAACTCATATTATACTATAACCTGATGCCATGTTACCCGTGACCTTTTTTGTGTAACTAAATATGAATCCTTTGGCTGGAGAGAACGGACTGGCACTTGCTCTGTTTTTTGTTTTTGTTTTTGTTCTTTCAGGTAAATCCATTCCTGAGGACCACTCGTGGCATGTTCCTGACAGCCCTTCCCGCCCCAAGCTTCACTACAAACAGATGGGAGGCGATGGCAATGTACAAACCATCCCCTCAGATTCCAGCAACCCTTGTAAACCAGCCTATGTAAGTCTTGAGTGCACTGAGAATATAACCCAAGTGCATGAGTAATAATCGAGATTTTTAAGAGAGAGAGGGATATTGGTGTATGCTGCACATGCTTGCTTTCCAGGCGTATTTTGAGCTGGTGACATTTCCCATGGTCACAGTATCTCTGCTGAGCTGCCTGTATGCCATTAGAACCCTGGCAAGACAGACTGGAGTTACAGACTGGTTTCTGGCCCAGACCAGTCTTTGTGTATATTGACACGACGGGGTGGTGATTATTACTGTTGAGCCAGTCATCCATGCAAGTAGTGGGGAAGCAAAGCGCCAGTTTCCCGAGCTGCTCCTGAACTCCCAAACTGTGTTCTGTTTACCTTTCGACTACACAGCCTGTTCAGGACACTGTGACTTCATATTCAGGAAGATTTGACTGTGTGCTGTGGTAGACGTGGGTTTGACTCCTAACTCTACCAATAAACTGCTCTGGGGCCGTAGCCCTTTGCCTTGCCTCTGTAAGCCTTCCTCAGCTGAGGTTAAAGCTACTTCATGTAATTGTTAGGACTGATTTGTAGGAAGGTGTAAAGAAGGCCCTGACACGTGGCCACTGTTACTGTTATTACCATTTGCTACCACATATGGTTTGCTGTTGTTGTTTATCACAGTGACTGTTCCTTCTTCACTGTGTTTTCCTCAGGCAGCATGAGTCGTTGGCATGCTCTGTCGAAGCAGCTGTCGGGGGCAGCCAGCCCAGGATTTAATGTTGGCTCCAGATCATCCCTGGTACAGAGAATTAGTGACAAGCGAGTTGAAATTAAAATGTCTGGGTGCGCTTTTATTAGTCAACTTTTAGACAGACCAGCGCAGTGTGAGCATCACTGGATTGGTCCTCAAAGTGCCCTCTAAGAGTGAATATTGCTAGATAAATGGAGAAGATTCTGCCTGTATGCGTCAGACTCAAATCCTTTGACAGCGGGCTTTCATGCCCGATTCAGCCACGCCGCCTCATGCTTAGCAAGCAGTTGTCAGTTTTCATCTGTCCCTTTGGATGCAGAATAAGACCTGACAGTCTGGGGGAGAGGGACCCCAGCACCTCACCTTTGCTTTGTATGCAGGGCCACCTGGTTTGGCCTCTCCCAGTGAATAAGCTTGTGTTCTCACCTGGCCAGTTTCAAAAGTTCCACCCTTTTTTGTGTGTCTGAAACCAGGCATGTCACCAGAAATGAAGGGTTTTTTGGTTGTTTTGTTTTGTTTTGCATTCCACACAAGTAGGCTGTATGGACACAAACCAAAGAAAGCGTGGCTTTTCTAAAAAGGACACATTTATTTTTGGAAAGGCCTGAGATAATAATAGCCCAATGAGGTCTGTGCTAACAGAAGAGTCAATACGTGCAGTGAAAAATAAATGCTTGGTAATGAATGGCCCCTGGAGGCAGATTTGTGCTCTGTGTTTCCAACTCCTGGTGATAATCTGCCAGCCAGCTCTACAGAGTGAGTGACTAGGAGGGAGGACTGAATTTTGCAAAACACTGTGCAAATGTGCAAGTGAGCACACAGTAACAGCCCGGCTGACCAACAGTGATTTTTAACTTGTTCTGCATGCTTCATTTGAAAAGTGTTAGGAAGCCCCAAATTAGGCCATTTTATTTCCAACCCTGACATCTCACCTGCTTCCCCACCATCTCGGCCTTTACGAAGCCCTTATTTCTGTCGTTAGCGCTGCTTGCTTATAAATGCACCCAGTACGCTAAAGAATCTCCATATTAATAGCAAGTTACCCTTCGAAGGAAAGAGGTCCCATATCTTCATTTCTATGAACTGAGATACTCTTCACACAGCCTTTGAAGTTTTACAAATGGTAACGTAAAAATCTGCTCATTCTAGGGAAAGCTGCTGTTATCCCCAGACACTGATGGTGGTAAAGAAAGCTCCAGAATCTTGAATGGCAGCTCACGGCAGGAAGACGAAGGCCTGGCCGCTCTCAGCGGGCAGCAATCAGGTACAGTTAAATTAGGCCGTTGTCAGGACAGGTGAAGTCTGTACTTTGGGTTAGCTGAGCATTTACTTTAAGTCATTGCTCAACAACATTAATTAAGAATTGAACAATTAGGGGCACCTGGGCGGCTCAGGTAAGCGTCCGACTCTTGGTTTCAGCTCAGGTCATGATCTCCGGGTCGTGAGATGGAGCCCCGTGTGGGACTCTGCATTGGGCGAGGAGCCTGCTTCACATTCTCTCTCTCCCTCAGCCCTTCCTCCCCTTAAGAAAAAACAAAAAAACAAAAAACTATAATCCGCCCAAACAGCTAAGCTTAGCCTACGGCAGCCAGTGTTATCTTAGAACCAGCTGACTTGTGGGGCGCCTGGCTGGCTCAGTTGGTAAAGCATGCAATTCTTGATCTTGGGGTTGTAAGTTCGAATCCCACGTTGGGTGTAGAGATTACTTTAAAATAAAAAAAGTTTTTTAAAACAAACAATCAGCTAACTTGTATTTATGAACAAACTCCTAAGCTGTTTACTTTCAAAACTATTCTTTAAATATTGACAGAATGAGCTTCATAGGATGAAGTGCATGTTTTAATGATGTCACTTGTATGTAAAGATCAGACATGACGATGATGACCGAGTTGTCAGGTGTCTCCTTGTGAGACAGGTTCGGTGATTAGAAAAGTAATGACTCAACTAACCCAAAAACCAAATAGCATTGACTTGATCATTCATGGACCAAAAAAGAAAGTGCCCTAAAAACAGCATAAACTAAAATGCTGAACTTGGGCCCACGGTGCACGTTGGCAACACCGTTGGGTCTCCTACCCCACTGCCCACCTCATTCCAGCCTTTGCGGGCAGGTCATGGCACAGGCCTTGAACCAGAGCAAGCGAAGCAGGCTATTCCACACTCCAGGGGAAGTGGGGACTCCTGCACCTGAGCCTCCAGCCAGGTTCATCCCCTACAGGTTTTCTCACCCTGACCCCGGACTAGTCGGAGGCAGAGAAACCTGTGGGTGCTACTGCTTTTCATGGGCGACATTTTATTCCAGGTGCCTTTGACAGATGGGAGCTGATTCAAGCCCAGGAACTTCACAATCAACTCAGAATAAAACAAAACTTGCAACAGCTGAACTCTGAGATCAGCGACATCACCACTTGGCTGAAAGAAACGGAAGCAGAGCTAGAAACGTTAAAGACAGCAGAGCCGCCCTCTGATATCCGGGAAATGGAGCTCCGAGTGAGGCGGCTCAAGGTGAGGGGGAGGCCTGGAGGGAAGAGGGATTCAGAAGGTGCACGCGGACGCATGCTCCACAGGATCAGCAGGTCCCATCTGTCAGGGGTGTGGGTGGCAAGCTGCAGACATGTATGGTAGCAGTCAGTCTGTCCCATCACTGGCAAGGACATGGAGGTAGATTTCTGTTTTCAGAAGAGCATCTGCACATGATCCCCAAGCCCCAGTCAGCACTGGGGAGGTGCGGCTCAGATCCCCTGTGCTGGAAAGATCTGACCTCAAAGACCCGGCTAGACTCTTACGGAGGTGCTAGTGGCCACTGCCAGGCAGCTAAAAACACTCTTCCACACTGTGCTGTCCAGGCTGGTGGTAGAGCGTCGAGGATGGGGAGGAGGACCAGCTCACCTACTGATGAGTTCTGTGGCCTGATGTGGTTACTCTGTTACACAGAATTTGTCACCCACATAGTCAGCCATCACCCCACCAGAACTAGCCAGGGAGCAGGGGAGAGGGGCTGCTTGAGCCCTGCACTTCGGGGGTGCCCTGAGCATGAGCCTGAGCTCCTAAGATGACCCAGGGCAGCGGTTTGGGGTACCCAGGCAGTCTTCACATTGGTACTCTTCATTTCCTTTGTGCATTACTATATCTGGGATTACTGTTCATCCTAAGGAATAACACTCCTGTGATACCTCGGGGCCCATGCGGGTTAACTGTGTATATTTTATCTGGAAGACTTTCAGTCTGGTCCAGAAATAAGTCAACCAGGGCTCAGGGGGGTCTATTCATGGCTCTGGTTGAGTCAGCCAGCCAGGAGACAGGCCTCTGCTGCCAGCCTGGCCAGCCAAGGCCCCTGACCTTGCAAGGCAGCTCCTCACTCGATGCTGCCCAGCCAGTTACAAGCAAGGTCGCACTTGTTTCTGTGGCCACAGCTCAGAGAAGCGTTTGGCAGATCCATGCCCGCTGAGGTTCAAATGAACCCCACATCACTATTTTCAGAATGCCTAACCCAATCTTTTTCCTCTGCGGTAGGAGATCTTAAAAGCCTTTGACACCTACCAGGCTTTGGTGGTCTCCGTGAACATGAGCAGCAAGGAATTTCTGCAGACGGAGAGCACGGAGTCCAGCGAGCTCCAGGGTAGAGTCGGCCAGCTGGGGCTGCGCTGGGACGCGGCCCAGGGCGCAGTGGAGAGCTGGAGAGAGGGCTTACGGCGGTCCCTCCTGCAGTGCCAGGTACGCCGGCACCAGGGCCCCGGTCCTGGGCGCAGCCAGGGCCCACGTGGGTGGGAGAAGCCGGTATTTTTATCGTCGGGCTGCTTTGGCACAAATACGGCTTGTGTGAGGGAAATGTGCTTTACCATTTGCTTCCAAAAGGCCCAGCTGCTGTCCAGAGACCTGCTGCTGGCCCTGGGTCTCCTGTTCTGTCACCCTGGCCCACTCCAGGGTTCCAGCGAGCCTTCCAGTAGGTCGGAAATGCCACCCCGCCCTGCCCCATCTCTGTCCTTTGGCCAGGAGGACCTTATAGCAGACTGATTAAGAGACCTGGCCCAGCGCAAGGAGCGGTTTAACCCAACTCTAGAGCTTTAGTAGCTGTGTGACTTCGGGCAAATCACTGTGCCTGCTAGACCTTTGTTTTGTTTCCCTCATCTGAAAAATGGGAATAATTCTAGTCTTTACCTCATGAGCTGCTTTTTAGGACTAAATTCATATAATCTTAGCCCAGCACTTGACAGGTGGTAAATGCTCATCCCGTGTTAGCTCTGACCCCATCTTCGGGAACACAAGCCCACCAGCAAGCTCCCATGCAGCCCTGTCCCTGGGCCACAGCCTGCCCTGTTGGGGTGTCTCCCTTTCCACTGAATCCAGCAGATTGGTCATAATTTGTGTGGTCTTTCTATGTAATAGTGGGGGCAGGGGCATTCTGAAGCCCTGCCTTTCTGCTAGCACTTCCACTTGACAAAATTCATCGTGCCTCCTGGGACTGTGCCAGCCGTGCCCTCTTTCCTGCTTTCCCTTCGCCTTGTTTTGGGGCCCTGGCATTTCATTTAAATCTGGCCCTTATATTTGCTGGACAAAGACAAGAGAAGCAAATACTATGTAGGCCTAAGCCAGCAAGCTGCTTCTCAGCACACCTTCCTTTACAGAAAAGGCAATGCTATGATGTGTGTATGTGTTTTTTTTTTAAAGGACTTCCACCAGTTGAGTCAAGATCTGTTACTGTGGTTAGCGAGTGCTGAGAGCCGGAGGCAGAAGGCTCAGGTCCCGGACCCAGAGGCAGACCCCCAGGTTCTCCTGGAATGTCAGGAAGAGCTGATGGTAAGTTTCTTCCTAAGGGGTTCTGCGCTGCCCCTGCCCTCTGTCAGGTGCATACTCAGGTAGCCTCACCTCGTGTTCCTGGGAACGATGCGGGTGTGGCATCTCACGTTCAGGTTGTATCTACTGAGCATCCCCTTGTAGTTTAGCAAGATGACCTGCAGGGAGGAAGAGCCATGGCCAAAAGCAGGAAGTCTTCTAAGACTGTCGGGAATTGGGGACCTAGGTGTTTAGCAATATCCTGAGACCCTTAAAGCCGTTTGATTGGAAGTGTTTTCTCCTTTGGGAATAGGACTCATGGGGGGGCGGGGGGGAATATGCTCAATTACTCCACAGACACAATGAGCTGTAGGAGTTTTCTAAATCCACTATAGCAAAGTCTTTATTTCTTGGAGGGTAGTGGTGTTTTCCTATATTTATTTCACTAACTAACCAGGTGACATTCTTACCCATAAATTTGTATGTGGTTCAATTATAAATAAATTTAAAGTACTGGTCATTATTTTAAAAATCTTCTTATACACTAAAATCTTTGCAAAGCCCCACTCTCAAGAGCAGCGCTCCCCAACAGACTTTCTGCAGTGAAGGAAATGCTCCGTATCTGTGCTGCCCCGTATGATAGCTATGGGCCGGGTGGCTGTTGAGCATGGTAAAGTGGCTCTTGTGACAAACTGAATTTTTAGTTTTAAATTAAATAGCCCCATGTTGGGGCACCTGGGTGGCTCATTGGGTTAAGCGACTGCCTTCAGCTCAGGTCATGATCCCAGGGTCCTGGGATCGAGTCCCGCATCGGGCTCCCTGCTCCGCGGGGAGTCTGCTTCTCCCTCTCCCACTCCCCCTGCTTGTGTTCCCTCTCTCGCTGTGTCTCTCTATGTCAAATGAATAAAATCTTTGAAAAAAATAAATAGTCCCATGTTGTCTAATGGCTACCCTATCAGACAGCAAGCAAGGTAATCGACAATTCAGGCTGATTTCACAGACGTGTGCCTTTATTTCTTAAGCTACTGTTTCCCAACTTACCCAGTTTGGATTTTTCCTTGACTTCCTCCTGCGGTGGACAAAGATCTAGTCTTTCCCTCCCTTCTTTCCTCTAACTCTTCCATCCAACTGTCCTCAGAATGAGAAGGAATGGAAAACAGGCAGGGTGTAACCTACCTGCTGCCTAAATGAGATGCTGGGCTTCAGGACACACACACAGGCACATAGAAGCAGTAGAAGGTTCTGGAGGCAACCCCCATCCCTGAGCTTTCCTGGCACTAAGAAAGCCACTTCTGGCCACACGAAGCAGCTAGTTCTCACACTTTTTTTTATTTTTAGCAACTGGAAAAAGAGCTCACGGAACGTCAACCTCAAGTAAACACCTTACAAGAGATTTCAGACAGTCTCCTTATTAAGGGGCACAGAGAAGACTATATTGAGGCTGAAGAGAAGGTACATGTTATTGAGAAGAAACTCAAACAGTTACTTGAGCAAGTGTCCCAAGACTTAATATCCTTGCAGGGACGCCAGGTGAGTCAACTTGAGGCTTCTAAATCGAAAGATGTCTTATTAGAGATGAATAGGAAGGCAGTATGGCAGCCTTGCTGGGGGCGGGGGGGAGGGGGCAGGACGCAAGCACTTCGTTGAGCAGAGTCTCAAGTCCTGCCCCTTCCTAGCTGTGCGGCCTTAAAAAGTTACACAGGCTCTTTGACGCTGTTGTGTCGTTTGCAAGGGGAAGACAGCACTGTAGCGCCTACGTGTTCACGTGGCTGGCGTGTGAAAAACCGGCCTAATCCCTCTATCATTTCTGACTTGCCTTCATGCCGAACAGACTTGAGTGTCCTCTTTACTGCCCTGGTCGCCGTCTTCTGACCACTCTCTCCTTTTTCTACTTTCTTTAAAACGTGATCCAACTCCCAACAAACCCAACCCGTAGCTTCCAGCCAACTTCCAGCAGGCCTGCCCCGTCCATGCTGGAGTTACATTTTGGCTCTAGCATGTTGATGGCCACGTGATCACATCTGCACATCTGAGGCTCACGGCCCACTGATCCTGTCCGGCTCGCTGCAGCTAGACTCCGTCTCCCCCAGTGCATGCTGTGCGTGTTAATGGCAGGGTTGGCCTGGCCTTGCCTGCCGCATGCCTTTTTGTCTGGAAGAGTCCCTGTTCAGGTGGGGAGTGAGAAGAATAGAAGAGCTCCCCTCTTCCAGAAAGATTTGAGCTGGGGGAAGGGGTGAGGTGAGCAGTGAGGAATCTGCACGAAGCATGTTTTTGTGCTCTTGAGACTCTTCAGAACCTTCTGTTTCCCTGAACTGAACCTTTGGGGTGTGGCTTTCAGAACCCAGACCCATCTCTGCCCAGCTTGGACGAGGTGGACGCCGGAGCCCAGCCACCAGCAGCATCCGTGCCAGCTCCACAAGCAAAGGTGAGAGCCCCTTTGTGCCCTGAGCACTGTGCTGGTGATTTTTCCAAGTTACCCAGGGGACAGGAACTGGAGCCTCCCACGGCCCCAGCCCCCCAATTCACGACAGCACAGATCCGCTTCCACCTGCTGGCCAGGGGAGAGGCTGATGCCAAAGATTAAAGAAAACTGACCCAACAGAAAGGCTGTCGTATCAGCTGCTCTTCACCGGAACTGGAGTAGGTTGTGAAAGAGGGGAGCCCTTACAGTATCGTTAAAGGGGCTCCCCGATTTCTCCATTAACAACCGATCAACGAACGGGAACGTGAAACGGCCAGTATTGCTGGCCTCATGGAGTATAATCTCACACGCATTACTCTGGGCTCCAACCTTGGCGGGAAGATGACCTAAGGGAGGTGTATAATTTAAGAAGGAAGAATGTTTTATCCTGGCCCAGACTCCCGGTCTTCAGTTACTAAACTGCATTCTTTTGTACCCAGCAGTTTGGGGCAGACAGAACAGCAGCAGACAAGAACAAGCTGGACAGCAGGTAAGGGGGCCCTGCAGTCACCACAGCGAGTCCCCTGTTGCCCACACGCACCCCAGCAGTCTTGCCCATCCCGTGCTCTAGGTCTTTGTACAAAACCCACTTTACTTGCTTTCTTTGGTCTGGAAAGGGCTGGGTTGCTCTCCCAGGACCGAACCTTTGTCGTGGGCCCCGCTGTAATCTCGGCTCCTTGGGTGGGGGGGGGGTCTCACTTGACACAAGCAGGGTGGGGGTGGCCCCCGGCACCTTGCACTCAGCTCTCCACCCCGTCTGTTGGCAGCTCCCGGCCACGGCGCTCGTTCGTGTCGCGGGTGGTCAGGGCCGCGCTGCCCCTGCAGGTGCTCCTGCTGCTGCTGTTGCTGCTGGCCTGCTTGCTGCCCTCGTCTGAAGAGGACTATCGCTGCACTCAGGCCAACAACTTCGCCAGGTCCTTCTACCCCATGCTGCGGTACACCAACGGGCCCCCTCCCACCTAGAGGCCCCGCCCGGCCTGCGGCACCGCACCACCAGCCCGTTCCCGCGGGGGCCCGCCTCGGGGCCCCAGACCGGTCAGTGAGTGACCCTGAGCGTTGGCCTGGCCCAGGGACCTGCTGCAGACCCCTGCAGCTCCGGACTCGGCCAGAGAGGGCACTCTCTCTCAGCACCTGGGGCCCCGCTTCCAAAGGCTGTTCCTCCCTGGGGGGGGCAGGGAGCCTGGGCCGTTTGGCAAAGCCCGTTGATTGGTCTCGGGGTCTCTGGAAACTGCCGTTTCCTGAAGAGCCGAGCACTCTGTGAATTCTGATTTATTTGTAAGACACTCTTCAGATGTAGCTAACGTGCTCACTGAACAGCAGCGTTCATCACATGTTACGGAAACAAGCAAGCAGACATCTTAGAAATGGTTCAGACACTCACATGCACCCTTAGCTGATTGATTGAAACAATCATATTTAAAATGTTTAGAATTAATTTTACTCCAATCAGCTAGCAATCTTGAGCTGCAAGTTATCAACCAAAATGTTCTGTTCTGTACTTAGGTCTGCTCTTTTATATTGCTTTAAATTTTTAAAGAAATTATATTGCATGGATGTGGTTATTTGTGCATATTTTTTAACAATGCCGAATCTGTATGAATGTAAACTTCGATTTTTTTAAAAAAACATCCGATTTTAGCTTGAGCTTTTGACTAATGTACAGTAAATGCCAAACTACTTGATAGGGAGGTTTTGTAAGTTAATTTTATAAGACTTTTCACCTTTAAAGTCCTGCTTCAGGTATTGTTTAGCTGTTTGGCCATGGGGGTTTGTTACAGAAACTTGAAGCTATTTGTGGTATGTACAACTCAAATATTTCTCATTAAAACAAAAATACCCATACTTGTGTTGTACTGGATTATATTACAAATTAAATGTCATACATAATCTACCACAGAACAGTACCACTGTCTATTTCCCACTAAAACAAAGAGTGTGATTAGAAGTCACTGAACCAGTTCCTCAGTTAACTGCTCCTAACCTGCATCTTTTTGTTGTTGTTGTTGAAGATTTTACTTATTTATTTGACAGAGAAGAGAGCACAAGAAGGCAGAGA